TGCTAACTTACACTGTATCTTGTGTTGCTAACTTACACTGTATCTTGTGTTGCTAACTTACACTGCATCTTGTGTTGCTAACTTACACTGTATTTTGTGCTGCTAACTCTCACTGTATCTGTGATTAATTGGAGAGTCTATGACTCTCCAATTAATCATAACTTTGTGTCATAACTGTGGAGAGTTATGACACATCAATAAGGGAACTGTGAGGGAGACAATGAGTAAAGGTAACACCTTACACCTTGAGGAAACAGCTAGCATTTTTTTTTACAATATTAATTTGTAAATGTCAATGAAAGGCTACCAGAATATCACAACATCAATTGTTACTTGGAATTTAATTATTTTACTGTGAATTTCGTGATTTTTAGGAGGCAAGTGACTCTGTGAGGTTCCTTGTCTGTGAGTAGTGTTGTCTGTGAGTCGTGTGGTCTGTGAGTCGTGTGGTCTGTGAGTCGTGTGGTCTGTGAGTCGTGTGGTCTGTGAGTCGTGTGGTCTGTGAGACGTTGTCTGTGAGTCGTGTGGTCTGTGAGTCGTGTGGTCTGTGAGTCGTGTGGTCTGTGAGTCGTGTGGTCTGTGAGTCGTTGTCTGTGAGTCGTGTGGTCTGTGAGTCGTGTGGTCTGTGAGTCATGTGGTCTGTGAGTCGTTGTCTGTGAGTCGTGTGGTCTGTGAGACGTTGTCTGTGAGTCGTGTGGTCTGTGAGTCGTGTGGTCTGTGAGTCATGAGGTCCGTGAGTCATGAGGTCCGTGAGTCGTGTTGTCTGTGAGTCGTGTTGTCTGTGAGTCGTGTGGTCTGTGAGTCATGTGGTCTGTGAGTCGTGTGGTCTGTGAGTCATGAGGTCTGTGAGTCGTGTGGTCTGCGAGTCGTGTGGTCTGTGAGTCGTGTGGTTTGTGAGTCATGTGGTCTGTGAGTCGTGAGGTCTGTGAGTCATGTGGTCTGTGAGTCATGTGGTCTGTGAGTCATGTGGTCTGTGAGTCGTGTGGTCTGTGAGTTGTGTGGTCTGTGAGTCGTGTGGTCTGTGAGTCGTGTGGTCTGTGAGTCATGTGGTCTGTGAGTCATGTGGTCTGTGAGTCGTGTTGTCTGTGAGTCGTGTGGTCTGTGGGTCGTTGTCTGTGAGTCGTGTGGTCTGTGAGTCGTGTGGTCTGTGAGTCGTGTGGTCTGTGAGTCGTGTGGTCTGTGGGTCGTTGTCTGTGAGTCGTGTGGTCTGTGAGACGTTGTCTGTGAGTCGTGTGGTCTGTGAGTCGTGTGGTCTGTGAGTCGTGTTGTCTGTGAGTCGTGTGGTCTGTGAGTCATGTGGTCTGTGAGTCGTGTGGTCTGTGAGTCATGAGGTCTGTGAGTCGTGTGGTCTGCGAGTCATGTGGTCTGTGAGTCGTGTGGTCTGTGAGTCATGTGGTCTGCGAGTCATGTGGTCTGTGAGTCGTGTGGTCTGTGAGTCGTGTGGTCTGTGAGTCATGTGGTCTGTGAGTCGTGTGGTTTGTGAGTCATGTGGTCTGTGAGTCGTGAGGTCTGTGAGTCATGTGGTCTGTGAGTCATGTTGTCTGTGAGTCGTGTGGTCTGTGAGTCGTGTGGTCTGTGAGTTGTGTGGTCTGTGAGTCGTGTGGTCTGTGAGTCGTGTGGTCTGTGAGTCATGTGGTCTGTGAGTCATGTGGTCTGTGAGTCGTGTTGTCTGTGAGTCGTGTGGTCTGTGGGTCGTTGTCTGTGAGTCGTGTGGTCTGTGAGTCGTGTGGTCTGTGAGTCGTGTGGTCTGTGAGTCGTGTGGTCTGTGGGTCGTTGTCTGTGAGTCGTGTGGTCTGTGAGACGTTGTCTGTGAGTCGTGTGGTCTGTGAGTCGTGTGGTCTGTGAGTCGTTGTCTGTGAGTCGTGTGGTCTGTGAGTCGTGTTGTCTGTGAGTCGTTGTCTGTGAGTCATGTGGTCTGTGAGTCGTGTGGTCTGTGAGTCATGTGGTCTGTGAGTCATGTGGTCTGTGAGTCGTTGTCTGTGAGTCATGTGGTCTGTGAGTCGTGTGGTCTGTGAGTCGTGTGGTCTGTGAGTCGTGTGGTCTGTGAGTCATGTGGTCTGTGAGTCGTGTGGTCTGTGAGTCATGTGGTCTGTGAGTCATGTGGTCTGTGAGTCATGTGGTCTGTGAGTCGTGTGGTCTGTGAGTCGTGTGGTCTGTGAGTCACTTGGTCTACATTAGAGCAGATGAATAACCTAATTATTACGCTATACCAATCACATACACGGACATATTTACACCTAGAGTTGTATATACTACCTCTAATATATATAGAGGTATATATATGCTTAATAACCCTCCAGATGTTGATAGGTCTTAATAACCCTCCAGAGGTTGATAGGTCTTAATAACCCTCCAGAGGTTGATAGGTCTTAATAACCCTCCAGAGGTTGATAGGTCTTAATAACCCTCCAGAGGTTGATAGGTCTTAATAACCCTCCAGAGGTTGATAGGTCTTAATAACCCTCCAGAGGTTGATAGGTCTTAATAACCCTCCAGAGGTTGATAGGCCTTAATAACCCTCCAGAGGTTGATAGGTCTTAATAACCCTCCTGAGGTTCATAGGTCTTAATAACCCTCCAGAGGTTGATAGACCTTAATAACCCTCCAGAGGTTGATAGGTCTTAATAACCCTCCAGAGGTTGATAGGCCTTAATAACCCTCCAGAAGTTGATAGGCCTTAATGCCCCTCCAGAGTTTGATAGACCTTAATAACCCTCAAGAGGTTGATAGACCTTAATAACCCTCCAGAGGTTGATAGGCCTTAATAACACTCTAGAGGTTAATAGGCCTTAATAACCCTCCAGAGGTTTATAGGTCATAATAAACCTCCAGAGGTTAATAGGCCTTAATAACCCTCCAGAGGTTGATAGGTCTTAATAACCCTCCAGAGGTTGATAGGTCTTAATAACCCTCCAGAGGTTTATAGGTCTTAATAACCCTCCAGAGGTTGATAGGCCTTAATAACCCTCCAGAGGTTGATAGGCCTTAATAACCCTCCAGAGGTTGATAGGTCTTAATAACCCTCCAGAGAGTGATAGGTCTTAATAACCCTCCAAAGGTTGATACGTCTTAATAACCCTCCAGAGGTTGATAGGCCTTAATAACCCTCCAGAGGTTGATACGTCATAATAACCCTCCAGAGGTTGATATACCTTAATAACCCTCCGGAGGTTGATAGGTCTTAATAACTCTCCAGAGGTTGATAGGCTTTAATAACCCTCCAGAGGTTGATAGGTCTTAATAACCCTCCAGAGGTTGAAAGGCCTTAATAACCCTCCAGAGGTTGATAGCCCTTAATAACTCTCCAGAGGTTGATAGGCCTTAATAACCCTCCAGAGGTTGATACGCCTTAATAACCCTCCAGAGGTTGATAGGCCTTAATAACCCTCCAGAAGTTGATAGGCCTTAATGCCCCTCCAGAGTTTGATAGACCTTAATAACCCTCAAGAGGTTGATAGACCTTAAAAACCCTACAGACGTTGATAGGCCTTAATAACCCTCCAGAGGTTGATAAGTCTTAATAACCCTCCAGAGGTTGATAGGCCTTAATAACCCTCCAGAGGTTGATAGGCCTTAATAACCCTCCAGAGGTTGATAGGCCTTAATAACACTCCAGAGGTTAATAGGCCTTAATAACCCTCCAGAGGTTGATAGGCCTTAATAACCCTCCAGGGGTTGATAGGCCTTAATAACACTCCAGAGGTTAATAGGCCTTAATTACCCTCCAGAGGTTGATAGGTCTTAATAACCCTTCAGAGGTTGATAGACCTTAATAACCCTCCAGAGGTTGATAGGTCTTAATAACCCTCCAGAGGTTGATAGGTCTTAATAACCCTCCAGAGGTTGATAGGCCTTAATAACCCTCCAGAAGTTGATAGGCCTTAATGCCCCTCCAGAGTTTGATAGACCTTAATAACCCTCAAGAGGTTGATAGACCTTAATAACCCTCCAGAGGTTGATAGGCCTTAATAACACTCTAGAGGTTAATAGGCCTTAATAACCCTCCAGAGGTTGATAGGTCTTAATAACCCTTCAGAGGTTGATAGGTCTTAATAACCCTCCAGAGGTTAATAGGCCTTAATAACCCTCCAGAGGTTGATAGGTCTTAATAACCCTCCAGAGGTTGATAGGCCTTAATAACCCTCCAGAAGTTGATAGGCCTTAATGCCCCTCCAGAGTTTGATAGACCTTAATAACCCTCAAGAGGTTGATAGACCTTAATAACCCTCCAGAGGTTGATAGGCCTTAATAACACTCTAGAGGTAATAGGCCTTAATAACCCTCCAGAGGTTGATAGGTCTTAATAACCCTTCAGAGGTTGATAGGCCTTAATAACCCTCCAGAGGTTGATAGGCCTTAATAACCCTCCAGAGGTTGATAGGCCTTAATAACCCTCCAGAGGTTGATAGGCCTTAATAACCCTCCAGAGGTTGATAGGCCTTAATAACACTCCAGAGGTTAATAGGCCTTAATAACCCTCCAGAGGTTAATAGGCCTTAATAACCCTACAGAGGTTGATAGACCTTAATAACCCTCCAGAGGTTGATAACCCTCCAGAGGTTGATAGGCCTTAATAACCCTCCAGAGGTTGATAGACCTTAATAACCCTCCAGATGTTGATAGGTCTTAATAACCCTCCAGATGTTGATAGGTCTTAAGTTCGAGTACCTGTGGGTGTTCACAAATCATTAATATCTTACAAAAGATTATAATCTTACTGGAGCTAAAAAAAACATCTATTAACCCAAGACTGTGCGTATGAGTGATCTGTATAACGATCAATACGTGAACTGATAGCCACACTGTTTTCCCCTACCTGCTGAAAGCTTATTTACCTACCCAGCACATTTAAGATACATTAATGGACACGGTTTAAATTCCGCTGGGTTTCTCTCCGTGTTTCAAAGCATCTGCTACTGACCCGTGTCGTAATCTCTAGCACAAGCTGATAGGTAATCTGTGGTGGCCTTCGCTTCAGTGGGCCTTTGAAGCAAGCTGGTTCATAAGTGGTGTGCGCGGGTCACTCTTGCCAACGCTCGCTTGATCGTCTTCCAGCACCGCAGGAACAAACACCAAGGCCTATATAATCTTGGTACAAAGGTGCCTTCAAACTCTCACGGCGCATTTGGCTCCGTTATCACCACCGCAAGTCTATTACGAGTCCCCTCCCCCCCCCCCTACGTCTTATCTATCAGAAGTAATTGTCGGGTGCCGGACGAACACAAGTCGAGTGGCGCCCGACCGCGGAAGATCCACTTCTCAGTAAGTCAAGCTTTTGTTTTGGGTTCAGCGCGGCTGTTTTCTGGCGGTATTCAACCACGTTTCTTACTGTGTGTTGGTTAAGGGGCCGTGATACCAGGCTTTCTTATGTGAGCAGTTCTCAGGACGCATTAATGGCGTCTCTCAGATGTGTATAGTCTTGGTACTTATCTCCGGTACTCACTATCCGGCCTCCTTAGTGCTCTCTAGTCTCCTGTACTCACTATCCGGCCTCCTCAGTGCTCTCTAGTCTCCTGTACTCACTATCCGGCCTCCTTAGTGCTCTCTTGTCTCCTGTACTCACTATCCGGCAGCGTAAATGTTAGTTTATATTGTTTCTTGTAGTTGATGTTAATAGTTTAGTTATGCAAGATAAAAGATGCATGTTTTTCTCCCAGTCTTCCCTGTTTTGATTGAAGTCTACCTTTAATATTAATCCAGAACTATTCCTACAGACAACAGAAGCTGCTCTTTGTTTTACAGTAGATGTTGTCATGTAATGTGTATCATACTTCTGTTATTCCGGGAGAGCTGAAAATCATTACTACTAAGATTCCATTGTCATGGTCTCCCATTATGTAAGATTTGAGTTCTCTATAATCTGGTATCACGAACTCCTTAAATCTCCAATTCTTCCGAATCATTGGGTCACCTCCGCATCCTATTCTTACCTTCAAAAACGGTAGTCTTGCGGAAAAACTACATTGGTTATGAGAGCTTTGTTTCTGTGAGTGCAATTACATCTGGGTTTTTGTGTGAACGCTTCTCAAGTTCACGTACTTTGCTTATAATTCCATCAATGTTTGTACACATTACTGGTTGTTTTATTCTGTGCGGTCTCACACGCGCCCTTGACTGCCATTCCTGGGGAGTGAGATGTTGCTCCGTAATGCCTCCGTATTCAGGAGAGGTCAATGTATGGTGAGGGAGGGAGGGGGGTTGATAGTGACGGCAGGGGAGTTAAACCAAGGGGAAGGAAGCTGATAACCGTGGGGGGTGACAATACGTTGTGTTGAGGTGTGGAGACAGGATCTATGGAAAGTTGGGGGGCTCGATTCTGAGTTGTGAAGGTGTGAGGGGGGAGGAGGGAAGAGGGTTTTATTTCTGCGAGGAGCGTTCATTTGAGTAGGCTGGTGCTGAGTGGGAGAGGGGTGAGCTGGGAGAGGTGGGGCAATACGGCTGGGAGGTAATAGTTGAGTGGATTTAAAGGAATGGTGGAAAGTTAAAAAGGGTTAAGCTTCTGTTGTTTTCCTCTCTATCATTGTCAACCCTTTAGCTGTTCGTTCCCCTCTTCTAACTGGAGCTGTCAGTTTGGTGATGTCAGTTCCTTTGCTCCTTCCAACCCCCCATCCCTGCACCTCTGCATTGCCTCAGTTGCTGCATATCTCTCTCTCTCTCTCTCTCTCTCTCTCTCTCTCTCTCTCTCTCTCTCTCTCTCTCTCTCTCTCTCTCTCTCTCTCTCTCTCTCTCTCTCTCTTCCTTTGTCCTGACTCTCTGAAGAAATACTCCTTTTTATCTTGGTACATTAAGAAGTTTTTTTTTTCCTAGGATTCTAGGATTGCCTCTTTCGTGGTGTCGTTCATGAACGTTATCTTTATTGGTTCATTTATTTCCTTCCTGTACCTTCCTAGCATCAAAACCACCTCTATGTTGGTTTGTAGCCCCCAATCATATCTCTATCATTTGTCCTCTCCCTTAACACCTACCACTACCACTGTTCTTGTCCTTCCTAATAGCTCGCTAGTGCTTCCTGCTGCTTCCTGCGAAGTGACTGCATCTTGCTGCTTGCTGCCAAGTGACTGCTTGCGTTACTACTTCTTGCAGCACTAACATTGCTTTAGAATTTCATTTTAACGTGTCTGGAAATTGCTTACTCAGTTACGTGTCCATCCACTGTTTATTTTTCTGGTTCTTGCGGTTCGTTTGATGTCAGGTCTGGGCAGGGTTCCTCTCCAGGCCCTTTATGTACACCTTTCCTGATTGTGCTCACACACTGTGTTATTTGTTTACTTATTGTGCTCCTTCCTCATCTTCCACCTGATCTTCCCTACCTACTTGTTTCACTTGTTTGGTTATTGTATCTAACTGGATGTTCCCGTTTTCGTTCCCATCCAATTAAACCGGTTCTAGAGCATACAAAATGAGGTGAAGGAGGGAGAGGGTGACCCTTCCTCTCCTTCGCTTCATTGTGTATGCTGTGAACCGGTTTAATTCCTTTCTCTGTACTCCATGGGATTATAACTATGGGAGACGGAAGAAGTAGAGAGAAAGTGTGTGTGTTCGAAGTGTGGATTTATTTACTGTTTGTATTAGCATTGATGCCTCCAGAACCGAGCTGTTAGCTCTTGGACCCCGCCTTTCTAACTATCGGTTGTCTAATGTACTGACTCTCGACCTATTTTCCTCTTATACATCATATCTCTCATACATATTTGTATTGTCATATCTAATACATATTTATCTTTAACACACACACACACACACACAGTCCCAGAGACATGAGGGGAACCCAAGACCAGCATCCCAGCAACACCAGAGGGGGGGGGGGCAACACCACCACCCCCCTCTGCATAGAAACCCTCCCTCCCCCTCACCCTACCTGCCCCCACCCAACCCTCCCTCCCACCCCACCCCATTCTGACCCTGACACCCCTTCCCCATTCCCATCATGTCCCCCCTCCCACCTTCCCCCCCCCCTGTCTCCCCTCCCCCTTCATCCCATACCCTCCCTATCCCTCCTCTCCCCTCCCCCTGTATCCTCCATGTCCCCCCTATCTCCTTAACCCACACCCTACCTGTCCCCCCTTCCCTTAAACCCCAAACCCCCACCCTAAAATCCTCTGAGACCCTGCAAACCACCTCACAGATCATCTCACCCACTGAAAAGCTTCCCACACCAGCAGAATGCTCGCCAAGAAAGGGACAAGAAAATGAACAGAAGAAAGTGAGCTTCAAGGCAATGTACACTAACATAGATGGGATTACAAATAAAACAAGTGAACTCGGAGAATGGGCACTAGAAGAAAACCCAGACATAATAGCACTCACAGAAACAAAGCTAACGAAAACTATAACAAACGCAGTGTTTCCACAGGGCTACTATGAAGTGAGGAAAGAAAGAGAAGGGAGAGGAGGAGGTGGTGTAGCTTTGCTACTAAGAGAAGGTTCGAGTTTCGAAGAGATGGTAATTCAGAACTGTGAAGGTTTCAGTGACTACATATCAGGCACCATAGCAACTGGAGGACAGAAAATTATAATAGTAGTCATATATAACCCCCCACCGAATGACAGAAGACCCAGACAGGAATATGATAGAAACAACTTGGCCACAATCAATATAATAAAGAGAGCAGCTTCTGTGGCTAGCAGGAACGGATCCAGACTACTAATCATGGAAGACTTCAACCATGGGAAGATAGATTGGGGGAACAGAGACCCACATGGAGGCCCAGACACATGGAGAGCTAAGCTGCTGGATGTGGCAACAAGAAACTTTCTAATTCAACACATCAAGGGACCGACAAGAATGAGAGGAGGGGATGAACCAGCCTTGCTTGATCTGATATTAACCCTAAATGAGTCGGATACAAGGGAAGTTAAGTTGGAAGCCCCCTTGGGAATCAGTGATCATAGTGTATTGAGCTTTGAGTACCTGGTTGAGCTAGGAATTATCACCCCCCAAAAAGAACTGGGAAACAAAGGGCTGGCGTACCGAAAGGGAAACTATGAGGAGATGAATAAATTCCTATGGGATATACATTGGCACACAGAACTCGGAACCATGTCCGTACAAGACATAATGGACTATGTCACCCAAAAATGTCAGGAGGCTGTAAGCAGGTTTGTCCTGGCCCGACAGGAAAAAACAGAAAAGCAAAGGAAGAATCCGTGGTTTAATAGGGAATGTATGAAAGCAAAGGAGCTGAACAAAAGGGCATGGAGGAACTTCCGTAATAACAGAACACCAGAAAGTAGAGAGAGATACCAGAGAACCAGGAACAAGTATTTTAGTGTGAGAAGAGCAGCTGAGAAAAGGTATGAAAATGATATAGCTAATAAAGCCAAGACCGAACCAAAGCTACTACACAGTCACATCAGGAGGAAGACAACAGTGAAGGAACAGGTGATGAAACTTAGGGTGGGCGAGGACAGGTACACAGAGAATGACAAAGAGGTGTGTGAAGAACTCAACAAAAGGTTCCAGGAGGTCTTTACAATAGAACAGGGAGAAGTCACGGCGCTAGGAGAGGTGGCAGCAAACCAGGTGACCTTGGAAAGGTTCGAAATTACAAGAGATGAGGTCAAGAAGCACCTATTGGAGCTGGATGTGAGAACAGCTATTGGGCTGGATGGAATCTCACCATTGGTATTGAAAGAGTGTGCAGGAGCACTTTGCTTGCCACTCTCCATAGTGTATAGTAGGTCACTGGAAACGGGAGACCTACCAGAAATATGGAAGACTGCTAATGTAGTACCAATATACAAAAAGGGTGACAGACAGGAGGCACTGAACTACAGGCCAGTGTCCTTAACTTATATACCATGCAAGGTGATGGAGAAGATTGTGAGAAAAAAACTAGTAACACATCTGGAGAGAAGAGACTTCGTGACAACCCATCAACATGGGTTCAAGGAGGGTAAATCTTGCCTTACAGGCTTGATAGAATTCTACGATCAGGTGACAAAGATTAAGCAAGAAAGGGAAGGATGGGCGGACTGCATTTTTTTGGACTGTCGGAAAGCCTTTGACACAGTACCCCATAAAAGGTTGATGCATAAGCTGAAGAAACAGGCAGGAGTAACTGGTAGGGCGCTCCAGTGGATAAGGGAGTACCTAAGCAATAGGAAGCAGAGAGTTACAGTGAGGGGAGAGACCTCGGAATGGCGTGAAGTCACCGGTGGAGTCCCACAGGGCTCTGTGCTTGGACCTATCCTGTTTCTGATATACGTAAATGATCTCACAGAGAGTATAGACTCATTCCTCTCAATGTTTGCTGACGACG